AAAAAACACATTTTGATCAAATAAAAAAAGTTTAGATTCAAATGGCTCTCCTGTGAAGTAGTGACATGTGACAAACACCATATGTACGCCAAGTCATACGTAACGTGACCCTTTTTATTAGAAAACAATAGTTATCCAGTGACACTCATCACACTTGCTTTCTAAAACTACCTGGAAAACATCTGAAAAGTATTGCCACACCAGCAGAATGGGATGAGCCATGGCTAAAAATGATATTGTCACCCCATTGTGAAGTCCAAAATGTTAAGTCAACATCTGAGAAATGTGTCAATTGAAATTTTAAAAAAAACTATTGGACTTTAATGAATCTTTACAAAAAAAAGAAAAATAGCCTTTTATATTGTTACGTCACACCCTGGTGTTCAAGGATAAAAAGGAAGGAGAATGTTGAACAGAAGAGTGTCTGAGAACAGAAGAGTATCCGAGAACAGAAGAGTATCCGAGAACAGAAGAGTATCCGAGAACAGAAGAGTATCCGAGAACAGAAGAGTATCCGAGAACAGAAGAGAATCCGAGAACAGAAGAGTGTCCGAGAACAGAAGCGTATCCGAGAATAAGAGTTGTCTAGAATAAACAGACCCTCTGAATATTATAAAAGTAGCAGCCCTTCAAAATTAACTTGACGAACAGTAACGACCATATAAAGGAAAATAAATTGATATATCCTGTAATAACACATCATATATGAATAGTTTACATATTCAATTGAACTCAAACTTAAAATAAATTCATAAAAATCGGAAGGCTAATCAAGCCATATCAAAAACGAAATTGAGATATAATATAATATAATACATAATATCGATCTTGAAACAAAACTAAAGGAATAAAAACTGACTATCTTAGTAAGCCATCAAATGACAGCTAACAACAACAAACACACTTAGTGTGCTAACGTTGGTTAACTCATCGACTTGTGGCCACAGCTTCGCACAGGCAATCCCTGTCGCTCTTGCTCAAATCTTCCGCAACGCGAATGCCTTTGTCCATGCAGATCGGCGCCAGCTTCGCAGCTCTCCACACCTCGTCTCTCACGTTCCTCAACGCAAACAGCATGATGACCAGTCTGTGTCTGTTCATCTCCTTTCTCTTGTTTCCGACGGTGTACAACATCTACCGCGATCTTCAGGGTAGCAGGGGGATATGGAACAATCTTCCCAATAATGTCAATCACAATCCCTCTGATATTCTCACCATCAGTTTCAGGCAGCCAGTTCAGGCTCAGCCTCCACCAGCGCTTGTATCGGACCTGTTCAGCACTTGCTGTGTGCAGCTTTCGTCGTTTTCTTTTGTCAGGGCATCAACTTTATTTTTCAACAGTTTTACAACAGTGGTGATATCCTTAATACCTGCTGCCTTTAAACCATGTTGTTTTGGAAATGTTTGCAATCGAGAGGGTATTTTTATGAATCCTCTCATTAAGCCATTCAGCCGAATAGCTTGCTCATCAAATGTCTTGTTTAAAGCCTGAATTGCCGCGAAGATGGCTTCATTGGTGATAGTCTGGGGTGGTTGAGTCTTCCCGGCGTCACTTTCTCGTAGACTCTTCAGGTTGGGGGGTTTCAAAGGGGTTATTTGGACACCTGTCCTCCGACCTCGGTACCGTTTCTTCTGGGGGAGTGTCAAAATCCTCCATATAGTCGACAGTATCCACCTCGGTTATGACAGCTCCCTCTTCATTTTTGCTAGCTTCCATCTCAGCTAACGTTACTAGCTAGCTAACGTTGATTTCTTGCTAGCTAGTCTTGGCTGACCTTGCTTGAAGTATAACAAGTGGAAAAGTGATGTTCGATAAACCACCAAACTAATTGAAAGAAAAATATAGTAAGAAAGTAACTTTAATTGGGTTCGTCATCAAACTCAAATTAGGGCTTGAATTCAATTTCAAGTTCATGAGCTCAGTTGAATGCGACTACTCACTGCGCCATCTTGTACCACCTGAAATAGACATTTTACACGCCAATGCCAAATTCTATCAGCATTTGGCGGGTGTTCATTTTAGGCCCTGATGGCAATGATCAGTTTATTTTAATAATTTAATGTGATATTAATATAATAATTTCACATAAGAAATGTCAGTTTGTACATTTTGAACATTTGAAAATGAGTTAAAACGTATTATTTAAGAGGTGGGTTTATTTGGAACACCCATGGGTTTAAAGGGTACTCTGGGTACCCATTAAACCCAGTCCGGATTTTTCACATTTTATCAAATATCTTTGTCTTGTAATAAAAAAGTAAAATCATAAAACTTCACATTAGAGATTATACTTTAATTTGATGTCCACGTTTCATACAAAAGTTAGGACAGTATATGTTAGAAATGTCCCATCTTTTGGTGGTCATAATAGGTACACAACCTACTACTGGCAGACATGTTTAGCATCCATTTTTACTGTGTTAAATTTGAATTGATATCACTCAAAGTTCACTAATATATATATACGGTAAACTCCTGTTTTTCCAATCTTGTAGCTGGCATAATATGGGCATGTTATGCTTTGAAATGTTAAATGACAATGGATTACTGATTTACTACTGGGACTAAATGTTTAGCATCCCATTGTTACTGGATTCATTGAATTTCGTTACCTCAAAAGTTCACTGTAATATAGAATAACCTATTATTTTTAACCCATATTTTAAGTTGGCATAATATGGGCATCGTATGGTATGTCACGGTCATCACACTGGATTAATGATCTACTAAAACACACATATCAAGATCACTGAGCCCATGTCACGGTCATCCCACTGGATTAATGATCTACTAAAAAACACATATCAAGATCCCTGAGATCTTACTGTGAAGCAGTGGGTGGGGGGGGGGGTTCGTATGTCATGACTGGAAACACGTCTTTAACCATTTAACATTTGATAAACAGCACCACCTACTGCAGCCTCACTCTAATCTAATCATTTACTTAATCATTCAGCCAGTGTGATTACAAATCAAATGTTATTTTGGTTGGCATTTGCTTTAAACTAGCTAGCAAATATCTTGCTTGTAATTTTATCTAGCGATCCAGCTAGATATCATCCCACCCTATTGAGAAAAGCGACGGTAAAATTAATCAGTAAGCTAAAGTTAACCCAATTAGCTCAAATGGCTAACGTTAGCTATTGTAGCCAACGTTAGCTATTGTAGCCAAGTTAACAAACAGATCACCGACCATTTCGAATACCACCGTACCTTCTCCGCTATGCAATCCGGTTTCCGAGCTGGTCATGGGTGCACTTCAGCCACGCTCAAGGTCCTAAACGATATTATAACCGCGATTGATAATAGACAGTACTGTGCAGCCGTCTTCATCGACCTGGCCAAGGCTTTCGACTCTGTCAACCACCGCATTCTTATTGGCAGACTAAATAGCCTTGGTTTCTCAAATGACTGCCTCGCCTGGTTCACCAACTACTTCTCAGATAGAGTTCAGTGTGTCAAATCGGAGGGCCTGTTGTCTGGACCTATGGCAGTCTCTATGGGGGTGCCACAGGGTTCAATTCTTGGGCCGACACTTTTCTCCATGTATATCAATGATGTCGCTCTTGCTGCTGGTGACTCTCAGATCCACCTCTACGCAGACGACACCATTTTGTATACATCTGGCCCTTCATTGGACACTGTGTTAACAAACCTCCAAACGAGCTTCAATGCCATACAACACTCCTTCAGTAGCCTCCAACTGCTCTTAGACACTAGTAAAACTAAATGCATGCTTTTCAATCGAACGCTGCTGGCACCCGCCCACCCGACTAGAATCACCACTCTTGACGGGTCTGACCTAGAGTATGTGGACAACTACAAATACCTAGGTGTCTGGTTAGACTGTAAACTCTCCTTCCAGACTCACATAAAGAATCTCCAATCCAAAGTTAAATCTAGAATCGGCTTCCTATTTCGCAACAAAGCCTCCTTCACTCATGCTGCCAAACATGCCATCGTAAAACTGACTATCCTACCGATCCTTGACTTCGGCGATGTCATTTACAAAATAGCCTCCAACACTCTACTCAGCAAATTGGATGTAGTCTATCACAGTGCCATCCGTTTTGTCTCCAAAGCCCAATACGCTACCCACCACTGTGACCTGTACGCTCTTGTTGGCTGGTCCTCACTACATGTTCGTCGTCAAACCCACTGGCTCCAGGCCATCTATAAATCACTGCTAGGCAAATCCCCGCCTTATCTTAGCTCATTGGTCACCATAGCAGCACCCACCCGTAGTCTGCGCTCCAGCAGGTATATCTCACTGGTCATTCCCAAAGCCAACACCTCCTTTGGCCGCCATTCCTTCCAGTTCTCTGCTGCCAATGACTGGAACGAATTGCAAAAATCTCTGAAGCTGGAGACTCTTATCTCCCTCACTAACTTTAAGCATCAGTTGTCAGAGCACCTTACCGATCACTGCACCTGTACACAGCCCATCTGAAATTAGCCCACCCAACTACCTCATCCCTATATTGTTATTTATTTTGCTCTTTTGCACCCCAGTATCTCTATTTGCACATAATCTCTTGCACATCTAGCATTCCAGTGTTAATAATATTGTAATTATTTTGCACTATAGCCTATTTATTGCCTTACCTCCATAACTTGCTACATTTGCACACACTGTATATATATTTTCTGTTGTATTTTTGACTATGTTTTTTTACCCCATATGTAACTCTGTGTTGTTTTTATCGCACTGCTTTGCTTTATCTTGGCCAGGTCGCAGTTGTAAATGAGAACTTGTTCTCAACTGGCTTACCTGGTTAAATAAAGGTGAAATAAAAAAAATAAAAAAAATTGTTGCCATCGCCACAGCAATGTTAGCTAGCTAAATGTATTAGCAGAATCCAAGTGGATGGAATATGTTGCATGCATGGTCTATCTATCTCTTTATTAGCAAAACTGTTCAAGTGAAACTCACCCTGTTTGTGAAACTCACCTTTTAACTATTTTGTGGCTCCTCTTTTGAATCCATCTGTAGCCTTCCATGTCAGAACCCAAGTCCTGGCTGTGGTGTTCCATCCCAGAGATGGTCTCAGTGAAGCTGGAGGACTGCAGTCAACCACTGGAACTCAATGTGATTGTCAAAGAGGAGAGAGGAGTCATAGAGGAAGAGATGGCGGTCAAAGAGGAGGTGGAGGAGAGAGGAGTGAAAGAGGAGGCGGAGGAGAGAGGAGTCACAGAGGAGGTGGAGGAGAGAGGAGTGAAAGAGGAGGTGGAGGAGAGAGGAGTCACAGAGGAGAGAGGAGTCACAGAGGAGGTGGAGGAGAGAGGAGTGAAAGAGGAGGTGGAGGAGAGAGGAGTCACAGAGGAGGCAGAGGAGAGAGGAGTCACAGAGGAGGTGGAGGAGAGAGGAGTGAAAGAGGAGGTGGAGGAGAGAGGAGTGAAAGAGGAGGCGGAGGAGAGAGGAGTCACAGAGGAGGTGGAGGAGAGAGGTGTGAAAGAAGAAGAGGAGAACAGGGATGTGTCTGCTCCAGATCTAGAGGAAGAAGTAGATAGTATCAGTGATCCAGGTAAGTTCAGGTGTGGAGTACGGAGAGAGTTTGGTGCCTTGGATCTAGAGGAAGAAGTAGATAGTATCAGTGACCCAGGTAAGTTCAGGTGTGGAGTACGGAGAGAGGTTGGTGCCTTGGATCTAGAGGAAGAAGTAGATACAGTGGGGAAAAAAAGTATTTAGTCAGCCACCAATTGTGCAAGTTCTCCCACTTAAAAAGATGAGAGAGGCCTGTAATTTTCATCATAGGTACACGTCAACTATGACAGACAAAATGAGAAAAAAAATCCAGAAAATCACATTGTAGGGTTTTTAATGAATTTATTTGCAAATTATGGTGGAAAATAAGTATTTGGTCAATAACAAAAGTTTCTCAATACTTTGTTATTATACCCTTTGTTGGCAATGACACAGGTCAAACGTTTTCTGTAAGTCTTCACAAGGTTTTCACACACTGTTGCTGGTATTTTGGCCCATTCCTCCATGCAGATCTCCTCTAGAGCAGTGATGTTTTGGGGCTGTCGCTGGGCAACACGGACTTTCAACTCCCTCCAAATATTTTCTATGGGGTTGAGATCTGGAGACTAGCTAGGCCACTCCAGGACCTTGAAATGCTTCTTACGAAGCCACTCCTTCGTTGCCCGGGCGGTGTGTTTGGGATCATTGTCATGCTGAAAGACCCAGCCACGTTTCATCTTCAATGCCCTTGCTGATGGAAGGAGGTTTTCACTCAAAATCTCACGATACATGGCCCCATTCATTCTTTCCTTTACACGGATCAGTCGTCCTGGTCCCTTTGCAGAAAAACAGCCCCAAAGCATGATGTTTCCACCCCCATGCTTCACAGTAGGTATGGTGTTCTTTGGATGCTACTCAGCATTCTTTGTCCTCCAAACACGACGAGTTGAGTTTTTACCAAAAAAGTTCTATTTTGGTTTCATCTGACCATATGACATTCTCCCAATCCTCTTCTGGATCATCCAAATGCACTCTAGCAAACTTCAGACGGGCCTGGACATGTACTGGCTTAAGCAGGGGGACACGTCTGGCACTGCAGGATTTGAGTCCCTGGCGGCGTAGTGTGTTACTGATGGTAGGCTTTGTTACTTTGGTCCCAGCTCTCTGCAGGTCATTCACTAGGTCCCCCCGTGTGGTTCTGGGATTTTTGCTCACCGTTCTTGTGATCATTTTGACCCCACGGGGTGAGATCTTGCATGGAGCCCCAGATCGAGGGAGATTATCAGTGGTCTTGTATGTCTTCCATTTCCTAATAATTGCTCCCACAGTTGATTTCTTCAAACCAAGCTGCTTACCTATTGCAGATTCAGTCTTCCCAGCTTGGTGCAGGTCTACAATTTTGTTTTTGGTGTCCTTTGACAGCTCTTTGGTCTTGGCCATAGTGGAGTTTGGAGTGTGACTGTTTGAGGTTGTGGACAGGTGTCTTTTATACTGATAACAAGTTTAAACAGGTGCCATTAATACAGGTAACGAGTGGAGGACAGAGGAGCCTCTTAAAGAAGAAGTTACAGGTCTGTGAGAGCCAGAAATCTTGCTTGTTTGTAGGTGACCAAATACTTATTTTCCACCATAATTTGCAAATAAATTCATTAAAAATCCTACAATGTGATTTTCTGGATTTTTTTTCCTCAATTTGTCTGTCATAGTTGACGTGTACCTATGATGAAAATTATAGGCCTCTCTCATCTTTTTAAGTGGGAGAACTTGCACAATTGGTGGCTGACTAAATACTTTTTTTCCCTACTGTAGTATCAGTGACCCAGGTAAGTTCAGGTGTGGAGTACGGAGAGAGGTTGGTGCCTTGGATCTAGAGGAAGAAGTAGATAGTATCACTGACCCAGGTAAGTTCAGGTGTGGAGTACGGAGAGAGGTTGGAGCCATGGATCTAGAGGAAGAAGTAGATAGTATCACTGACCCAGGTAAGTTCATGTGTGGAGTACGGAGAGAGGTTGGTGACTTGGCGACCACTGGGGATTCCAAAACAATTATTGTGGGAAGTTAGCCCAGCTTCTCGACGGAGACTGTATACTCTGTGTGGCAGTATACCACTAACCAACTGTGCAACTCTTTTACTGTTTGGCGACGCTTTTCCCAAGTCAGAGTGTATATCTGTGATCTGTGGATCGTTGTAAGTCGTTTGCATCGCCCGAGCGGTGCCCAATAAATAATCAAATCTGCTGTTAATCAACTCTTAGATGCTACCACCCCCCCCCCCCCACAAATATAATCAAAATAAAACATGGATTCTTTGTGTTCTTACTTTGCACGCACACCTGTCTGTGTTTCACACCTGTTTGTCGTAGCTAATCAGCCAATATGGGAACCGTAGTGAAAACGTCTGAGTGCAAAGCCAGAACAAAACATTGGCATCCATATTAGATTTTGATTTGGGGAGGGGGGGGGTAACATCTAAAAACTGGATTTAATCGTTTCTTGTTCACAGCTCGGTGACGAAAACGGCGACTTCCCAATCAGAACCGATTTATGGATATAGCTTCCAACACGGAACACGTGCTGCTAGCAGGTAGTCGTTGGATCGAACGCATTCCCTTTTGGATACGATTAGACCTCGTCTAATTATTAGACCCCATCTTATTAATTAATGAAACCATTAATAAAGAGTTGTAAGTTTGGGCTAGTGCCATCGCCTGCTGTTGTGCCCTTGAGTAAGACTCTTAACCCCCCACAACCACAGCTCCAAGACACCATAGTATGACATCCCTCTGCTCCAACATGTACAGTGGGGGAAAAAAGTATTTAGTCAGCCACCAATTGTGCAAGTTCTCCCACTTAAAAAGATGAGAGAGGCCTGTAATTTTCATCATAGGTACACGTCAACTATGACAGATAAAATGAGGAAAAAAAATCCAGAAAATCACATTGTAGGATTTTTTATGAATTTATTTGCAAATTATGGTGGAAAATAAGTATTTGGTCAATAACAAAAGTTTCTCAATACTTTGTTATATACCCTTTGTTGGCAATGACACAGGTCAAACGTTTTCTGTAAGTCTTCACAAGGTTTTCACACACTGTTGCTGGTATTTTGGCCCATTCCTCCATGCAGATCTCCTCTAGAGCAGTGATGTTTTGGGGCTGTCGCTGGGCAACACGGACTTTCAACTCCCTCCAAATATTTTCTATGGGGTTGAGATCTGGAGACTAGCTAGGCCACTCCAGGACCTTGAAATGCTTCTTACGAAGCCACTCCTTCGTTGCCCGGGCGGTGTGTTTGGGATCATTGTCATGCTGAAAGACCCAGCCACGTTTCATCTTCAATGCCCTTGCTGATGGAAGGAGGTTTTCACTCAAAATCTCACGATACATGGCCCCATTCATTCTTTCCTTTACACGGATCAGTCGTCCTGGTCCCTTTGCAGAAAAACAGCCCCAAAGCATGATGTTTCCACCCCCATGCTTCACAGTAGGTATGGTGTTCTTTGGATGCTACTCAGCATTCTTTGTCCTCCAAACACGACGAGTTGAGTTTTTACCAAAAAGTTCTATTTTGGTTTCATCTGACCATATGACATTCTCCCAATCCTCTTCTGGATCATCCAAATACACTCTAGCAAACTTCATACGGGCCTAGACATGTACTGGCTTAAGCAGGGGGACACGTCTGGCACTGCAGGATTTGAGTCCCTGGCGGCGTAGTGTGTTACTGATGGTAGGCTTTGTTACTTTGGTCCCAGCTCTCTGCAGGTCATTCACTAGGTCCCCCCGTGTGGTTCTGGGATTTTTGCTCACCGTTCTTGTGATCATTTTGATCCCACGGGGTGAGATCTTGCGTGGAGCCCCAGATCGAGGGAGATAATCAGTGGTCTTGTATGTCTTCCATTTCCTAATAATTGCTCCCAAAGTTGATTTCTTCAAACCAAGCTGCTTACCTATTGCAGATTCAGTCTTCCCAGCCTGGTGCAGGTCTACAATTTTGTTTCTGGTGTCCTTTGACAGCTCTTTGGTCCATGCCATAGTGGAGTTTGGAGTGTGACTGTTTGAGGTTGTGGACAGGTGTCTTTTATACTGATAACAAGTTCAAACAGGTGCCATTAATACAGGTAACGAGTGGAGGACAGAGGAGCCTCTTAAAGAAGAAGTTACAGGTCTGTGAGAGCCAGAAATCTTGCTTGTTTGTAGGTGACCAAATACTTATTTTCCACCATAATTTGCAAATAAATTCATTAAAAATCCTACAATGTGATTTTCTGGAAAAAAAATCTCAATTTGTCTGTCATAGTTGACGTGTACCTATGATGAAAATTACAGGCCTCTCTCATCTTTTTAAGTGGGAGAACTTGCACAATTGGTGGCTGACTAAATACTTTTTTCCCCCACTGTATGTTTATGTTGGTTTTTAGGAGGGGTTGGCTTAAAGAGGAAGTCACATTTCCATTGGACCTTGTGTTCAATTGGACAAATGAAGTGATCTTAAACTAGTTTTAAAGCCCCTTTCAATGCTTTTCCTGATTCTAACCCCATATCTGTCCATATTCCCACAGGAGAGAGCTCCAACCCAGGTTCAGACAGTGAGCCCAGTTCCACAGCTTCAGGAAACCATAAACAACACAGACAGAGGAACTCAAGACAGAAACATCACCACTGCATGGACTGCTCCACTAGTTTCTATGAGCCAGAGGAGTTGAGAAGGCACACTTGTAGGCCCCACCCCTGCTCAGATTGCAGAGGCAGTTTCGTGTGTCCAACTCACCTCATACCACACAAAAATACTATCAAAAGAAAGAAAACTTACCCATGTGGTCAATGTGGGAAGAGTTTTCAGACCCCAAGCAGCTTGAAGAAGCACCAGCTTACTCACACAGGAAAGAAGTCGTACCACTGTTCCCAGTGTAGGAAGACTTTCAGTTGGTCATTCAATTTGAAGAGGCATCAGAGAATACATACAGGAGATAAGCCTTTCCACTGCTTCCAATGTGGGAAGAGCTTCCGTATGGAAGGACATCTAAAGGAACACATGAGAATACACACAGGAGACAAGCCGTACCACTGCTCTCAGTGTGGGAAGAGCTTTGGTCGGGCAGGAGCTCTGAAGACACACCAGCTAACTCACACAGGAGAGAAGCCGTACCATTGCTCTCAGTGTGGGAGGAACTTCAGTCAGGCAGGACACCTGAAGACACACCAGCGAACTCACTCAGGAGAGAAGCCGTACCACTGCTCTGTTTGTGGGATGAGTTTTCCTCTTTTACAGACCTTAAGTAGACACCAGCTTACTCACACAGGAAATATGCATTACCACTGCTCCCAGTGTGGGAAGAGCTTCAGTCAGCCAGGACGCCTGAGGGCACACCAGTTAACTCACACAGGAGAGAAGCGTTTCCACTGCCTTCAATGTGGTAAAAGTTTCAATCATTCATCAAATATGACGGCACACCAGTCAACTCACACAGGAGAGAAGCCTTACCACTGCTCTCAGTGTGGGAAGAGCTTCAGTCTGGCAAGATACCTGAAGAAACATTGGCGAACTCACACAGGAGAGAAGCCGTACCACTGCCCTCAATGTGGGAAGAGTTTCCGTCAGTCATCACATCTGAGGGCACACCAGTTAACTCACAAAGGAGAGAAGCCCTGTACCACTTCTCTCAGTGTGCAAAGATCTTCAGCCAGACAGCAGACCTAAAGAGACACCAGCTAAATCCATGTGACACACATTTTTAGGCCGATCTACAGGCTCCCGATCAGATCCCGGTGCATTTTTCCAAATCGGAGTAAACCCGGAGTAAAACCTAGCGCGGCAGCCCGTAAAGTGTTAATATGTACCTGATTCCCAGTTGATGGCTCTCGCGGGCTCCCAGGCACTCTACAGGCACTTACGGCATCCCATTAATTTTCTAACATGTTGAATATATTCTGCCTCAAATCGGCCATTATCACTAAGTGTGAGCAGTGCTCAGAGCAGTTAGGAGACATGTCCCACCGTCTGCCAATCAGCTGTTCAGAACTATAAAGGTTCTCTACCTCACAAGTTCATAACAATGGCACCAAAAAGAAAACAAGATAGGGTGTACTCTGTTTGTTTGGTAACTCGGTAGCTAGCTCAAGCTGGCTAACGTTAGCCACACCTCATGCTCTTCAAGGACGTTGTGGCTGTGTTATCTAGTGGGAACACGTTATGTTGTGTTCTAACTGGTCTCCAGTAGTTGGGCTCTAGCATGCCGACCATAACCGTGCTGGTTGGCTAGGCTAATAGCTAATGTTAGCTGGCTGATTCACTTGCTGATAACTGCATACAGCCAACATTTTCTGAGAATTGGTTAGATGGTAGGGCTGGGCAGTATACCGTATTTTACTATATACCGATATTGATGAAAGGACCGGTTTGGGTTTTTACATTACCTTCTATAACGGTATTTTAATGTTTGGTTTGTTAAATGTGATACGCCGTGTGTAACGTCCATTTTGGATCCTTTACTCCGCTCTCCCTCTCTCTCTATGCCGCATTCCACACAGACCTAGCCCCGCCCCCTGTCACTCGAGGCGGATTTGTTGTTGCTCGACCGCGAGACACTTGCGTCCAGTCTACACGGTCAATGAAGCAACGTGCAACAATGTTGATGACGACGATGCGGTTGTTTAGTTTTGCATCTTAATATAAATCCACTGGCGTTCTATAATTACACGAATAGTTTCTTACATCTGCAAACAGCTAGTTTGTCTTTTCTTAGCAAGTTGTGGCTAAATTGTGTTAGCCGCTAGCTAGCTAATAAATGTACTGAGTCAGAGCAAACGTAGCTAGCGTAGCTAACGTAGCAGTCAGTGTAGGCCTAGATCAGCATGTTGTTTGTGAAACAGTATCTTCTAAACCAAAGAGGATTAGCATGAATATGTTAGCTACATGAAGTAGCTCCTCCCTGGCCTTTCCATTCGTTGTCATGTCAAACAACACTTTATTCAAAGTGCCCACTATTATATTATAACTATAGAATTAGAATAATCAGTCTATTTCCATGATTTCAACGGTTCCCCCTAGTGTTTTTGATCAAAATCAGAAGTCAAATCGCAATTACAACATTTGGTTAAAAATAAGGCCTAGATTTTTTGGGGGGCCAATATCGTGCAGCCCTGTGTGGCAGTGTAGAAATGATCTCAAATTAGTGCAGGAAATTCTATTTGATGAAAGTTTAATTGTACAGTATAAAACAATGAGAATGGAGAATGTTTGTGTCGCCACCCTCGGGTCGCCCACTACTCATGAAGCAAATGCCGTCAAATACCGTCATATTATATTTTGGCCACATCGCCCAGCCCTATTAGATGGCGTTATGTATTATCAAAACTTTGGTTTACTTTAATGTAGCTTGTAAAGCTAGGTGTTGATAGCAACTGGCTGACTCATTCAGTGCTAATGTAACGTTAGCAGGCTGGTAGGGCTAACGCTAGCAGGTGTAGAGGAGCAATGATTTAACACATCCACGCCAGACGTCAACCACAGTGAGAATACACAAGGGAGCTCTCCACTGGCCAGAGAACAAAGGAAGAGGGGGAGGGGCCTCTCCCAGCAGGAGTCGTCCATGCCTTCTTTTGCTCAGCTCACACCTCTACATCAAAGCTCCTCCCATCACAAAGCTCCTCCCATCAGCTCAAAGGGCGGCAAGTTTAACCAAATGGTGCTCAGACGGCCTGCCGGAGATATGGACATAGCAGTTCTTACGTAGTCACCGTCACTCTTCAACACAGCCAGGGAACTTCTCCATTGGAGAACCAGACACTGGACACAAAAGTGTCTCAAACTCTCTTATTTCCTCAAGCAAACCGTGTAAACGGACTGAAAATGACATGGTTAAAAGTGTTGATGTTGTGTAGTAAGATACCATTTTAGAATGTGTGTGTGATTTTTCTGACAATTAACAGGTATTACCCTTAGTCGTCCACGGTAACAGTATACTGTTTGGTATCTGTGATCAGTCTTCACACAGGCGGTGGAAGACATTATGAATACCACACATTCAGTTTATAGTTCTGGACAGGAAGAGGTGAGGCCTCCCGTCAGGAGAGCTGTGATTGGCTCAAGGTGAGGGGATAGCATTCGTCGCTTGCATTGTTCTGTGACTTATGGCAGGGCATTGAGTTAATCAATTGTCCACATAACTGGAGGGTACTTTGTACACTCTCATAATGTCTTCCACCGCCTGTTAATACTAAATTGTAATTATTTTGCACTATGGCCTATTTATTACCTTACCTCCATAACTTACTACATTTGCACACACTGTATATATATTTTCTGTTGTATTTTTGACTTTATGTTGTGTTTACCCCATATGTAACTCTGTGTTGTTGTTGTTTTTTATCGCACTGCTTTGCTTTATCTTGGCCAGGTCGCAGTTGGAAATGAGAACTTGTTCTCCACTGGTCTACCTGGTTAAATAAAGGTGAAATAAAATAAATAAATGCCACTCCTTTTGTTCAGATGGCGAACAGCCGTATGGTTGCTGTCATTTATGGACCACACAATCATTGTTGAGTTGAGGAAAGACTGACTGTGTCACTAATTGTTTTTATAAGAATGTGTTGGAAATTCCAAATTGCATAGTCAACTACATATACACAGCACTGACACACACACTTACCCCACCAGACATGCCACCAGGGGTCTTTTCACAGCACTGACACACACACTTACCCCACCAGACATGCCACCAGGGGTCTTTTCACAGCACTGACACACACACTTACCCCACCAGACATGCCACCAGGGGTCTTTTCACTGTCCCCAGGTCCAGAACAAATTGAAGGAAATGTACAGTATTATACAGAGCCATGAGTGCATGCAACTCCCTTCCATCTCATATAGCGCAAGTGAACCGCAAACCTGGTTTCAAAAAACAAATAAAGCAACACCTGGCGGCACAACGCCTCTCCCCCATGTGACCTACTTGTTGTGTGTATGTACTGATGTATGTGTAACTGATAGATGCACACACACTACATGTTAATGTTTTTAAATGTATGTAAATTGTAAAGTATTTTGTCTGTGATGTCTTTTTCGTTATGTGCCGGACCCCAGTAAGACTAGCTGTCGCCGTTGACGTCAGCTAATGGGGATCCTAATAAATAAAATACAATCTTAGGCCCTCTAATCCCCCATTCCCTGTGTGTGACTCTGATTCTGTAGCCATTCACATTAGTACATAATTTTGCCATCACAATCTCCATTAATTCATCCTGTACATGTATTGTTTTAGCCTGGTTATTTCTAAATATATCCTATTTGTTTATGGAACATATCTACTGTATCCAAGAATGTCATTTCAAGAGCTTAATTGCCTTCAGAATTATACGTTCAGAAAGAAAACGCCACGTAGAAATATGTTTAACCATATATTAAGCAATGAATAATGCAAGTCTTGGCGTATAGGCTCTGCTTCTTCAGGGTAGCCTACAGGCAGTGAGCGCGGTAAACTATACCAATCCCCCCCGGCAGGAACACAGAACCTGACAGGTGGAGGCTGGGGGGGTGGTGGGAGCCAGCGCATAGTAGCAGCAAGCCTCAGCAGGGTGAGTGAGCAGACCCGGTCAGCTTAAGTAGACCGCCGATAAGGTAGGCGTGATTGTTACTAGCCTCTAATTCAGGGATCATCAACTAGATTCAGACGCGGACCAATACACAGTAATGTC